TGCAAATGTGACTGTATTTTACAAAATACTAGTCTACTAAAACACAGCCAAGACAAGTTACTTCGTAGAGACCAAAGGTCAGTTTTATGCTATTTGATGAAGTAACATGAGTGCATGTGATCCACGTCATTGTAACTTCTGTGTTGTTAGCCAGGCATGGCTGAAAGGTCAATAAAATAAAAATAATAGATGCATAATGTTATGAGATTTAAGCTATTTATTCTAAACATTTATGTTTTTGTGTTATAATCTATGTTCATTCTAGAATGAGAGATACATAATTTATATTTATTACCTAATTTTTTATGGCGGTTGCGAGATTGGTCAAATCTACCAAACCCACACAGAGATTAATTACTGAAAATAACAGATAAAATAAAGTTTTTTCTTAAGAAACATTTGATAACTATCTAGACATTACAAAGATTTTGCATGTGAAATTTCAAATTTTTCTGATGCATAAAAGTATTTTTAATCTTAAAATGAATATTACTTTGCATGATAGATAGGCAATATGTGAAAAGAAAAAAAATAGACAATAAAAAAAAACATTGCTTTACAAATCTTAAGACTTAATATAAAAAAACTTATATTTTGTGTTTGAAAGCATTGTAATGTTTACTGATAATCTGCCAAATTTTGTTAACATTTGCTTACTAATTTAAATGTTATAACATGAAAACCATAACAAGCACAAAATGGTTAAGAGGTTGGTCCTTGGGACTCAGCCCATGCTAGAAGAGTTAACAGCAACATCATGATGTACAAAGTAGCAGTGGTAATAAACTACTGCAATGTTGTAAAGTAAGCTGCTCTCTTGTGTAGGTGTCACAACTCATCCAGTTCACAAGAACTAGTCAACATTATTTATTTATTCCATAAGAAATCATCATTTTTGTCAAGAAAGCCTGTGACAACAGCTCAAAAAAACCTTGCATTACAGTAAAAATATTCATGAAAACTTTGTTATATGCATCTTAAATAATAATAAAACAACATCTCTGACACAATAATACTAGTGTAAATCTTCCTATTCATTTTATGTTAGGTTCATCCAAAACAGTAGGACACATATGGCAGTTATGTACTAGGATAATTCCCAAGAATTGTCTCTTTTGGCTTTAATGAAACCTTATAAGAGGCTCAACACAATCCTAGGTATTCTAATGGGCACATTAACTCTCTTAACATGGGCTCGGTCAATTTGACCGACCACATGACCTCTCTGTACTTGATTACAGTCTTTACAGATTTAATACTTCTAACTTTCAATATAGTGTGTATATCTTCATAAAATTTGGCAGGCTTTCAGTTCATATTATAAGTCTTTTACATACAAAAAATATTTTTTATTGAAGTATTTTTAATAAACTAAAATAAAGATTTGTTCATGAATATATTAAGTATTTATTTTGAATAGTCCGTGTGTAAAGTGATTTTCATGTTATAATTAAAATACTTTTCCCTCATAAAAAATCTCAAATTTCCTTAGTCTTATCCCTAAAACCTCCTAAATACATTTCAAACGTTTTTTTTCCAGTAAAATTGTATATTTCATCTGTTATTTTCTCTAACCTAACTGAAAATGGGATCGGTCAATTTAACTGACTCTTAACCACAGGAAAAAATTAAATTAAAACAAATCTAAATTACTCTTTTTTTTTTTTTCTTTCTAGAATGACTTAAAATTGTAACATGAAACTACATTAGTTTATCCTAAGTAGCTTTAAGCTCATAACAATATA